ACGTGAGGCTACGTGTTTCTTTCTAGTGCGCTTGGTCTCTCGCTCACTATTTTTCCTCCTCCCTCCCTCTCTTTCCCTCAGCCTGTGTCCCTCCCTCTCTCCGTGTGTGCGTAGTCTGGGCGCCCTGCCAAGTGGAGTGTGTTTTTTGAATGAATACCTGATGAGGCTGCTGAGGCTGACTGGGGGAGGAGGAGCCGTGTTCTCTAGTGCACTGTGTGTGTGTGTGTGTGTGTATGCATGTGTGAAGCGAGAGAGGGAGAGAGAGAGAGAGAGAGAGAGCTGGCAGTCTGTTTGCCTTGCATAACATACGCTGTAGCTCTCACACGTAGGGCTAGTGAAACAGCGCAGACGAGGGGACTTCCTTTACCCTCGGCCCTCCGAGCAATTGTCGAAGGAAGTGGAGGAGAGTGAAGGCAAGGGGGGGAATGTTGGACATGGAAGAAAACGTAAATCAGAGGACTGCATGTGTGACCTGATAGCAGAGCTAAACCTGGACAAAGGACAGCTTGTCAGTGGGTAGAGTGAGTTACACTCGTAGTGCAGAGAGAAAAAGAGAGAGTTCTTAAAGGCTTCCCTATAAAGAAAGGTAAGGCATCACTATGACATCAAATGGTTGCTTGCTTTTGAATGCTTGTATGAATTTCATACTCATTTTCTATAAATGCACGTATTTGAGCATTTACTGTGCTGTTATAATGCATAATGACCTGTATGCTTTGCAGAAATAATTGCAATTGTGTGCAAATGCATCCGTGCTACACTGTATGTTGTGCTGTTTTGTTTATAGCCAGTGAGAGAGAGAGAGAGAGAGAGAGAGAGAGAGCGAAAAGAAGCAGGCTTTAGTCATTGTAAAGGCAGCAACAGCTCTGTTTGGATTCATGTCTAGCTTAGGACTCCCTAGACTGCCTCTTAAAGGGACAGACGTCCATATAAAAGGTCGTTAAGTGCAGAGAGGAGCTGCTTTTGAGCATAAAATGGACAATTGCATGGAGCAGGGAGCAGACATGCATGCTTTTTTAAGGGGATAAGTTAACGTAGGCGTTTATTTTTAGAGTGGCTATGTTTGTGTTTGTATGCAGAATCATTGGCATTGGTTCAGTCAACGCTGAGATGACATCATTGAAAAAGGTGTCAGTACCCTGCGAGTAATACCTTCCTGGAGATTTCACATCAATACGCTATGGAAAAAATTAAGTTTGAGATAAATACAGTGCATACCATTTGTTTATATGACAGATAAGTTTGATAATTGGAATGTTTACATCATGAAGTCTTTGTTTTGTGGTAGTTACTCAAACATTTTAGATTAGTACAGTTTTTATTAGTGTGCTAATGTATGAATATGACATTAGAACTGCATTAGGGCTATCTACTGTTAAATAACTGAAAGGATACTGCAAGTTGTTAATTTTTCTGGCTCGATGGCTATACTGAAAAAAGATTCCTTGGATTTACTAAATATTTTTAGTGGTTGTAAACAATTTATTTGAGCTGAATTTAAACAAACAAATGAAGTTGAACATTTCTAAATTTAATTTGTTAGTTTAAATTTAACACATAAATTGTTTGCAACAGTTATGCAGACAATGTTTTTTGTCAATGTAGTCACACTTTGTGTGAGTGTATGTTTGGGTCAATGTTATGATAAAATTTTCTAATACAGATCAACTGAAATCTAGGACTGGGCAAGTGATCGAGCTCGACATTCAGAACTTATAATTGTTTAAAATTTTCAAGGTAAATTTTTTCAGTTACTTTTCCTACCGCGTGTGGAGTCATGTGACCCTCCTCTGTTAAGGCTACTTTATATTTCTACATCGAATGCATGGGTATGGCATGGCACAGCCTTCATGCGGTTGCATACCCGTGCACCTCTCAAAAAATTTAACTACACATCGCAAGTTTGCACTACATTGTTGATAATTGAAAGCTGCGCCAAAGACATCAAATTTTCCATTACAATTACATTATTAAATACATTAAGTATTTGTTTACAAAAGATTCAAGAAACGCACTGTTTAAAATATTATTTACAAGGTACATATGTTATATATATGTTTATTTAGAAGAGATGCTACTTATTTTCTACTTTTAATATAAAAAATTTTAATCAAAAATTATTTATTTTGTTTCCAAAAGTGCAAGTTATTTCTTTTCACTTTTTTTATAGGAAAGTTTTAGGCAATGTGCTTTAGGACTGTTTTAAGCAAAGCGTGTTTTAATTTCAGTTGTTCTAAGTTGACGTTCAATACATAATCATAGAAAGCAGATATCATTATATGATGATCATAGTGCCTGCTTCTTTCAATTATTTTAATATCAAGTAATGCACCCTTCACACTTCTGCATCGAACACACAGGTATGGTCTGACACAGCTTTTATGGGTATGTGACCACATGCACTTGTAATATGTAAGCATATTAATGTACAAAATTTGCTAAATAAATAAATCAAATAATCGTCTATTAATTGTAATCAAGTTAAAATGTTCAATTATTCAAGATTTAGATTTTAGGCCAAATCGCCCAGTCCTACTAAAATCACCTACAACCATGATTTATTTCATATAAAACTTCTTTAAACGTAGGTTTATAGGGTTAAACGGAGGGATATAAAACATCTTAAGCTTAATTCAACACCAATAGTAGGTTCTGGCATTGGCAACAGATCTGTGGCACTGAATTAGTCACCAGCAAGCATTTTTTGTTCTTAAAAGATGTGTAATAGATGTCTAATAGACATCTAAACATAGTCGTCTTGGCTAAAACAAGGCTAAATTTGGGCTGTCAGTGAAAATAATGGAGATCTAAGAATAGGCCAAAACTAGACTAGTCATGAAAATCTAATAGACATCTGACAGCCCAAGTTTAGTCTTGTTTTAGCCAAGCTGTCTAAGCTTAGATGTCTATTAGACATATATTAAACACAAACTGTTTGCTGGGTCACAAGCAGAAGGAATGCATACATGAAGCATCACTTTTTTTTGTGAGGCTGAATTGCTTTTTAGAGTTAGCTATTTTGAATTGTGGGTGTATTTCAGTAGTGCTCTTAGAAGCCCCCTGGAAATAGACAGGCAAATATGACACCCAGTGAGAGAGAAGTAGCGCATAGGCACATACTGACACACACAAATGATGTGTGAAATGCAGGTATTCTTGAAACTTTCCACAACCATTTCCTTCCAAGTTTACCTCTATGCTCTCTTTATATAATTTATTCTTAACAGTATGTGCAAGGAACCAACAAGCTCATCAATGCATCTATATATAGCCTAAAAATACAAAGCCACAGCAAATATTACAGTCAGAATTATGTTCATAAATACATTCAGAATATTGCTCTATGGAGGATTGGTGTTCAGTCTCTAAGTAAAGCATTTGTACAGTACAGACACCTGAATGTCTGTCTATTAGGGTTAAGGGTAAACAATATTGCCTGTTACTACATTGTTATTTTTTTAATGTACAGATAAAGGATTTCATAACTTGAATCCATGTTAAAGCACGGAGCAATACAGAGCAATGCAGTTACAGTTGAAGTCAGAATTATTAGCCCCCCTTTGACTTTTTTTAATATTTCCCAAATGATGTTTACAGACCAAGGAAATGTTCACAGTATGTCTAATATATATTTTTTCTTCTAAAGAAAGTCTTATTTGTTTTATTTCAGCTAGAGTAAAAGCAGTTTTTAATTTTATAGAAACCAATTTAAGGACAAAATTATTAGCCACCTAAGCTATATTTTTTCGATAGTCTACAGAACAAACTATCATTATACAATAACTTGCCTAATTACTCTAACCTGCCTAGTTAACCTAATTAACCTAGTTAAGCTTTTAAATGTCACTTTAAGCTGTAGAGAAGTGTCTTGAAAAATATCTAGTAAAATTTTATTGACTGTCATCATGGCAAAGATAAAATAAATCAGTTGTTAGAAATGAGTTATTATAACTATTATTTTTAGAAATGTGTTGAAAAAAAAATCTTCTTTATGTAAAACAGAAATTGGGGAAAAAATAAACAAGGGGGCTAATAATTTTGACTTCAACTGTATTTCTATACGTAATGTTTGTCATATACTTTTGCTATTCTGTGCATGCTAAACACTGATCTGTGGAATCGCTCAGATTCTATTGTTCTTTGATACACGAGCACTCTGCACCAAATCACGTATGCATAAGTGCGTATCAGTCCGATGCTGATATGCTGATGTGTATTGTGCTCTGTATACAATAGACTGAAGCATTTAATGGCTGTGTGTGGTGTAAGCTGTAGCAGGGGAAAGTAGGACAGTGATTGGTGCAGATCTACTGTGGTGTAGGGATCTCTCCCTCCCTCTTTTTCCCCCTCCCTTACTCTCTCTCTCTCACTCTCTCTTTCTTCTCCGCTGTTACACTCTAACTCAATAATCATGCTCGCTTGCAGGCAGAGCTCAATGTGGGTCAGGAGAGCCAGTGTTCTCTCTCTCTGTCTCTCTCTTCCATCGTCTTTTTCCTGTCCACATGTTACGTTTTCATTCTATGTTCTCTTTATCTTCACTGATGGATTGTATGTATATGCAAACAGTATGAGCTTGAGCCCTTGGAGCATGAGGAGGATTTGGATTTACATTTGATGATGGATCATGGTGATAGAACAATCACTTATAACAATCACAATAGACATTGCTGAATTTACACAATGATGTTTGCTGATAAATGGAGGGGAAATGTAAGACTAAGAGTTCAGTAGTAAAGGTTTGACTTAAGGTTTGGCTGGGTGAGCACAGGCCAAATCGCTGTCGCTAGCATATTACAATAAAAAAAACTTGTAACTGAAACAATGTTCCTTTTGGGTATCGGACCACATAATATGCTATATTTAGGTAGAAATGTTTGGTATAATTTCATAGAATCAAAGGCAGTGCAAAAATACTATATATATATATATATATATATATATATATATATATATATATAGTATACAATTTCTAATTTTTGTTTTCTGTTTGTCTAATGAAGGTACAGACCAATAGCTATCAGAGAGAGATGATTCCACATGAAGCACATGGATCCTTTCCTGACAGGAGTCCTTCCAATGGGCAAGACTATGGTACAAGTGGAGCAGAGTAATAGGACAATGAAAATCTGAGTTCTGCTTTGCATGTAAAACATTTTGAAAAAGACGAGTGGTTAAATTACAGGAAAAGCTCCAAGACCATGAAGTCTAACCAGGAGCGCTGTAATGAGTGCCTTCCGCCAAAGAAGCGGGAGATTTTAGCACTGGAAGAGAAGCAGGTGCTGGTGTCAGCTGCTGTTAGTGAGAGCCAGAGTGGAGAAAATTTGGCTTGGCTAGCCAGTGTTGCTACCATGGCTAGCATGGCCCACATCCCCAACAATGCAGGCCCATCACATAGCAACAGTTCTGAGCCTGACAGCCCCCCACCATCAAATAAGGCTCTCACTGTGGTGGCAGAGTACCCTCCAACTACTACATCTGCTGGCTTTTCATTCTCTTCCAATAGTTCCACCTACAGAGGAGTCTTGTCGGGGCCTACCGTACTAACAGCAAGTCCTGCGGTTCTCTCCACAAGCCTTCCTCAAACCATAGGTTCCGTCCAATACACACAACTTCCCCCCAATCTCCAGCTCATAGGGCCCTATACAAGTTATATCTCTTCACATATTGTCCCATCCACATCCAGTCCAACACAACCACAGAGAACACCACAAGAGATCTTGGCCACAACAGCTGTCATCTCTCAAGCATCCAGCCTTGATTCACAGAGTCATGTGATTTCTTCTATACCAAATGTTTCCCACAGTCAATGCATCCAGGTCGAGAGTGCTCCTTTGGGTTTGACAGTTTCTTCTCCTTCTACACAACTGCCCCTTCAAATCCATCCACACTCAGCTGTCCTTGCTCCTCATGCCCTGGCTCTCACCCCCTCTCAAGTGGTACTACACTACACCGATGGCTTCATTGCAAAGCAGCCAGACTCCCATCGCAGAGAGGTGCTGAATGGTGCACTAGGGGATGTTACAGTAGTCAAGCACAATACTACAATGGCCAAAGGGATCTCTAGCCAGCCAGATGTTGAACAGAACCACAAGCAAAACCATAACCTGGGTATCCAGACGCAAGCTCAGGTTCTGCTGCCTGCAGACTACACCACTAATGACAGAGCAGGTCTGCAGACTTCGCTGATGCTGGTATCCAGTAGCCACCTTGCAGCAAACAGCAACTCGGACATCCAAAGTATCTTGGGTAAAGACCACTCATCTTTGCACCTTGCTGAGAGAGGAGGGATCTGCCTAGGCAAGCCAATGTCCAGAGTGTCCTCCCTTACTTCTTCAGACAGCCAAGTTTCTCCTGCCTCAACAATTTCCCCCCACACACTCATCCAGGCTCCTCACAATGCTCCTCAACAGGAACTCTCCACCAGCCTTTACTCTGCTACACAGCTCCCAATTATTGGCTACATCACCAGTGCTTCTGGTGGACCTCAGCAAGCAGTAACTGGTTATCAGAGCAACCTGCCACAGCATGTGGTAATCTCAGGCAACCCCTCCTTGCTCATTCCGGTGAGTGCCACTAACATCAATCCGTCTACTGCTGAGCCGGAGGTCACACGCTGTTCTGTCATCCCCAGTTTAGCTAATGCATCAACAGCTCTGCCCCAGACCTTTATTAATACATCCCCACCTGCAGCAGTAGCTTCAGTTCTACCCAATGGTAAAGACATCACAGGGTCTGATGGAGGTCTTGTCCCCTGTGCTGTGCCAAGTCCTACCCAAATACAGCTGCCTGTTCTTTCAGGCAGTGTAGTGAGATCTCCAGTCCCAGCTACACCTCCAATTTCCACAAGCCCTCACAGCTCACCATCATCACCAACAGCAGGACTTCCTCCATTCTTCATGAAGGGCTCTATTATCCAGTTGGCAGATGGCGAATTGAAGCGTGTGGAGGATCTGCGGACAGAGGACTTTGTGCAAAGTGCTGAGGTTAGTGGAGAACTGAAGATTGACTCCAGCACTGTAGAGCGCATAGAGGGCAGCGGCACTCCTAATGCTGTCATCATACAGTTCTCAGTGGGAGAGAACAAAGCCCAGGTGAGTCAGTTTTTCTTGACATCAAATTCACTTACATTGCTGAAGAATGAATATATGCAGCTTAAATGTTATTCTTGTTTTTCTCCATTTTAGGTGTGTGTTGAGGTTCTGGTGGAATACCCTTTCTTTGTGTTTGGTCAAGGTTGGTCATCCTGCTGCCCTGATCGCACCACCCAGTTACTAGCGCTATCCTGTGCCAAACTCTCTGTGGGCGATGTCTGTATCTCTCTCACTCTTAAAAGTCTAAAAAATAGCATTCAAAAGAAGGATCATTTTTCAGACTCTGTGATGAAACACAGCCTTTTAAATGCAACCAAAAACAATGGGCCTCTTATGGAAAGACCAACCCAAGTGGATGATCTCAAGAAAGGACACAAAATTCCATCAGAAGTGGAAAATAGTATTGTAGAAAAACTTATTGAGACTTCCAACACAAAAATTGTGTTGTCCCTTTCTGAGAATGGGGGCTCAAATCCTCAGACACTAGTTAATCTTCAGAACCAAGCTGAAAAAACATATACATCCACTGCAGAGAGACCCATTAGTCGCAAGAGGAGATGGTCTGCCCCAGAGAAAGCAGACATGCAGAAGTCGCGAGAGGACCCTCAGATTTTACCCAAATTTTCCTTCATCCCACATCAGCTGAAGGTCAGCATTGAAGGCCGTTCCAGCACAGGTTGTTGAGAAGCTTCTGAACTCCATAGAGCAGTGATGGGGAGGTGATTTTTAACAAAGAAATACAAAAATTAGCCTTACTTAATTAGCCTTAATTTGACAAATCACATATAGTTGATTAAGTGAATAAAATTAGTTTTTGCTTGGTGTTCAAGATGATGCTTTTGCTTCAACCACTGAGATTCACTTTCCCTATCACTGCCATGGACTCAAGGAAGGCCAAGGAAGAGCAGATTTGTTTTTGGTACTTTGTTGCTTTCCTCTGACATTCATATCCAGGTTACTGTAATGTTAAGTCATTTTACACAAGACTAATGTGTGTGATTATTTGAGTGTGTCATATGTAACATTGATCCTTACACTTACTTTTTCTAAATCTGCTGGACATGACAATTTTGGGTTGTATAGCGAAAGGTCTGACCATGTTTTTTTTCTCTGCTTGCTACTCATATAGTATCTAATTTTGTGTACAGAATTCATTAAAAATCAGGGTCCTGACTGGATAGGGACTGTTACAAGGACTGATGGCAAAAAGTAAAAAGTGCTTTTGGTTAGTTGTGAGAGTCTATTTATCCTGACAGAAGCCACTTTCCTCTTGTTACTGCCCAGAAATGTCCTGTGCTCATACTGTTGGCTAAGAGTGACAGGCTTTGCTCAAGTGACTACTCAAGTGAATCAGACCAAGGTCAAGAATAGCATCAAGATTCAACAATGAATGTTAAATGATTTATCCATATATTTTCATTCAATTGCTGATAGTCTTTTAGATATGCAATACTGAGCTTTCACATACCTCATATGTGCATTTAACAAATAACCCAGTCAGACTGCCTGACTGGATCTGTGATCTCAGTTTAGAATGAGAAAGCATTGGAGAAATCCTGGCTGTGTGTAAAGAATCTTTGCTCAGAATTAGCACTTTAAAGAAAGGTTAAGGAACGCTGAATGGACGGAAACATTCCCACCTCTGTTTTGTTACTACAGCAACAGACAGTTTTGTGTGCTGTTGGTCATTTTGTGCATTACTACCCATTATATGTGCAAAGCACTTCTCATTTAGTATTTTTGAATTACTGATGTCTTCTTTACACTATTTTAAGTGTTGTGGGCCTTACTTAGTCCAGCTGCAATAATACTCAATGTTAAAGACGCAACTGAATCCCTATACAAGACAAATAACTATACGCAGCATCTTTGATGCTATAAACTAGCCAAGTTTTTCATGTTTATCCAAAATACAAATGCAAATTTTGAATCAAGGTTAGCTTATATATATAAAAACCTTTAGCATCTAAAGGCCCTGGTTATACTTCAAATGATGTTCATTTTTTGAGGGCAAAAAGAAATTTGAAATGGCTGAGTGACGGTATTGACCTTACTGTTCACACAAATGGCTCAAGACTTCTGGTTTCTGTCACTTTCATTTATTTTTAGATGTTAGATTTTAGATGCAAACTTATATTGTATTGTTTGATGATCATAAACAAGCTCAAGTGTTCATGGGAGAATGCCTAACCAGTCCACATGTGTTTTGTAGACTCTGAGAAGATATTCGACTGTGTCCCTCGTGGCATTCTTTGGAGGGTGCTCTGGGAGTATGTGGTCAGAGGTGCTCTGTTAAGGGCTGTCTCATCCCTGTATGAACGGAGCATGAGTTTGGTTTGCATTGCCGACAATAAGTCAGACTTGTTTCCAGTGTATGTTGGACTCGTTGTATTGGTGCAGCGGCCTCAGTAATGCGATTAATGTACTGGTCTATTGTGGTAAAGAAGAAGCTAAGCCAAAGCTCTCAATTTACAGATCAATCTACGTTCCTACTCTCACCTATGATCATGAGCTTTGAGTCATGACCGAAAGAAAAACATCTTAGATACAAGCTGCCGAAATGAGTTTCCTTCGCTGGGTGGCAGGGTGCACCCTTATAGATAGGGTGAGGAGCTCTGTCACCCGGAAGGAGCTTGGAGTAGAGCTGCTGCTCCTCCACATCGAGAGAAGTCAGCTGAGGTGGCTCGGGTATCTGTTTTGGATGCCTCCTTGAAGCCTACCTAGGGAGTCGTTCCAGGCATGTCCCACCAGGAGGAGGCCTCGGGATAGACCCAGGATACGCTGGAGGGACTATGTCTCTTAGCTGGCCTGGGAACACCTCGGGATCCCCCTGGAGGAGCTGGAGGATATGTTTGGGGAGAGGCAAGTCTGGGGTTCTCTTCTAAGACTGCTGCCCCTGTGACCCGGCCTCGGAAAAGTGAATGAAAAGGAATAAATGAATATAATTGTACTTTTTTCCCTTTGTTGGGTTGTGGCTGCGTAATACATATGCCGAAATCAATGGTGGTTCAATCTGTTGTGGTGACCCCTGATAAATACTGGACTAAATCAAACTTTAAAAAGCACGGCACGACATGGTGGCACTCCTTATCTGGTGTGTGACCCCCTCTAAGTTTTTTTTAATCTTTCCTCAGAAGATTGTATAGGTGTGGATGCATCTGTAGCAGCTCTGCTACTCAACTCTACAGTGTATTTCATTTATGTGGCTAACTTGGTGTTGTTGTGTTGGATGCCTTATCCCCTGTCTGGCATTAGATATGAATCAATCTCGTGTCAAAGAAGGCAGAGTTCCAGAACACACCCACCTATTAGGAAATTGCCACGATGGTGTTTAGGAGCCAAAACAAACTCCCCCAAAAGTTTGCTTTGGTAAGCAGTTTCAAACTGCCAAAACAAACTCAAACGATCTCGATTTAAACAGAATTTGTTCCAAATTACGTCATTTCAGTTTGTTGTTGGATTTCATTTAAAGTATACCTGGGCCTTAATGATGTTAATAAAACTTTATAAATCTGTAAACAAACAAAAACATTATCCTACTATTAAGAATCAGTGGGTCAGGAAAATGATGTGCTGTGAATCTGCTATGCCATTTAAAGCAGAAATCAGCAGAAATGGGAAAATATGGGTTATAATTTAAAATATAATTGCAGTCCCTCACATCTTAGTTTTCTGGTTGTATTAACTTAAATGTGGCACCTACTCAGTGTAAGTTATCTCAGCCACTGTCTTTTAAAATGTTGATTTCTTCATAATTAGCAGTATGCCATTAATTGCCTAAACATGAACAGTCATTGTACCTTCTCTGCAGAGAAAAAAAAAAAACACAAAATGATGAATGTTGAGACGCTATTTTTAGAATTTAGTATCCACATTATCTATTTTCTCTGTCTTTATCTTTACTGTGCTTGTCATGTTTAACAAATTTAAAGGAATTATAGTGCATTGACAAATTACAGATAAGGTAAACATACTTTTTTAAAACAACAAATATAATTGCTATATTCCATAAATAAATCATTATGGGATTATCTTCAGATTATCTTGAGTCTTTTTGTGCAAAACGGTCACAAAATAATTCTTATCTAATGCCACCGACTGTTTTAAACATATGAATGCTGTTAGAAATTCAGAAAAAAAAAATCTTTGCATACATATAAGAATTTTGCTATTTGCACAAGTAGACATTTTAAAGAGTAACGCCGAGTGTAAGTATGCAGTCTAGTTAACACTACAAATTGCCAGCTCTGTAGGTCACATAAAACCTATACATTTTGATATGCGTGGTCACGAGTGTGAGTTTTTCCACTGTTTGTTGACTGACTTTAAAAAAAAAGGTATTGTTGTTTCTAAGCTTATATTCAGATGGAATCACAATAGACCTCATATTGTAGAAGTAATGCTTGATTGCACATTCAGTCCAATCTGGATTTGGATTTTATGCACTTTTGAAGAGAGAGGACAATGAAAGGATGGTTGATTGGTAGTCACATATAGCTACAGTATGTTCAATAACGTCTATTGTGCCAGTGATAATGAAAAGGCAGTGCAACGACAATAGACTAGAAACCATTACGAAAGTGTCACAGTTTCTGGATTGTTGTTTGTTAAATATGTATCACTGTTCTCTCTCTTTTTTCTCTCCTTTTCCGTGTGTAGCTATGTACATTTAGACCTCAGTGTGTTTGTGTGGATAACTTCACTGAAGACAGTCAGGTTTTATCACATTATCACATCTGCTTTTCTGTTTCAACTTTACAGCGATTTATTATCATCTGCATCAAACAAGGCTGTCGACCATTTGAGGAGGGCATAAAAGCGTTATAGCGATTTATAGTCAATCTATATTCTCAGGTGGAGAAACTGGCCCGATGACTGTTTCTGTTCCTGTATTCGTTTTTGCAAAAAGTGGCAAATAAAACTGAGCTGGAGCTCATTTTAGCTCCAGTGCTATGACTCATGGGAAGTCACTGGCTGACTATTGCGCCCTCTACAGCCCATCACTGTACATGCACTCGGTGTGTTAAAAAAAACAAAAAAACACTAGTACACGCTTGCTATTGAAAATGTGATCATAAACACAACATTCAGTAGTATGTACAAGATTGGGCATCAACAATATGACTTATATATATATATATATATATATATATATATATATATATATATATATATATATATATATATATATATATATACATACATACATACATACAATATGGCTTATATATATATATATATATATATATATATATATATATATATATATATATATATATATATATATATCCAAAGACAGTCAGAATTTGTTGTATGCATATGCCTCAAAGTTCCAGGATTAGCTCTAGCAATACCACAAGGCCTCATTAAGGGTTGGAAGACCAAACTTCACATCTCAAGATTGACCTACAACATAAACATCGCCGATCCCATTGTTTTCTTTGCTAAAAACACACTGTAAAGTAAGTTCTAAATCTTTTACCTCCCGTTAAACCTCAATCGCCAGTGACACTTCTCTTAAAAAACAAAAGAACAAAAAAAGCACATAACTGATTTCTGATTTTCTTATATATTCGATGTAAATGACTATATTTGTGTGATTCGTTGTACCTGTGATATTTTTCTCATTCTTTGACAAGCTCCTTTTCTACAAACTGACATAAAGCAATTAAGACAGAAGTCAACCTCAACTTTTCTAACTGTGGCGTGTTTATGTGAACAGAGCATCCGAGACTGTTCAAGTGAAGTCAGTGATCATTTCTTTGGTGGTGCTTGCAAGTTTTTGTAGCTGTTTTGTTTTTTTTGTGAAATGAAAAGGAACGTCAGACTCGACTTTTGGTGAATATGTCCAGTTTAATGACTTCCTGTATAGTACAAATCTATTGTATCTGTATAATCACTCTAATAAAATACTGTGCCAATTTTAGTCGCCTCTTTCCTTCAGGAAACAAAAAAATTGGAAAAACTTTTTTTTCACTGAACAAAGTCTGAAGGCAAAATTTTCTGTGTGCATATTGTGTATGAACTGTAAAAATAATACCTATCTTTTGATTGTTTTTGTTTCATAATTAGCCATTAAATGGATTGTTCACGAGGCCTGTAACCAGCCTATTGGCATTTCCCAAATTCAAATTTCCCAAATCCCAAATACAAAACAAACGTTTGCAAACTTGTACGTTTCCAACTAAACCTTTAGAGCTGTAGTTAGAAGTATGTTCCTGGTTGTGTTTCACTCCCAGTTACCCCCCTATGCCCTATTCCTTTAGAATTTTCCAACAAATAAACTTGGAATGATTAAAAAAAAAACATTAAAGTCATTTCCCCTAATTTGCTTTCAAAGTATTTTTAGTTCATTTTTAGCAAGCTTCATATTTACAATTGCGTTCACTTCATAATGCACTCTGAAAACATACCATTTTGAATGCAGCCGTGGCTCATGACGAAAGCTATAGGTGACCTATTATTTGAAAACGGAGTTTATGTAACATCTCCAAAGCTTGTAAAAACAAAAATATATAGCATACGTTAATGGTTTAGTTTATAAAAGGTTATTTATTAAGAAATGTATCTGTACTGTAGACCTATATGACATGGGTATGTTGGTTAGATAATTTTTGCAGTGGTTTGAATGTGTCAAATTGAAATAGTAGACTTAAAATAAATAAATAAATAAATAAATAAATAAATAAATAACCAATATCCTACTTATAATAGTAAGTATTATTAGATTTATCATTATGAAGTAGGATTTTTTATTTTTTTAATAAATAGTCTATAAATTACAACCATTAACGATTTATATGGTTTATATATGACATTAGAATATGTATTAGCTTTTAGTTTTATTAATAAAGAGTGTTTCTTTTTTTTCTGACAAAGGGGAACTTTTTGCAGTTATTCACCTCATTTTCTATTAAAGTATGCATTTTAGTGACATTTTAAGAACTAATCTTGGCTGGATCAGTTTGTCGGATTGCGATCATAACCATACTTTTTGATGCACCAAAACATTTAAATTTTCAACAAATATTTTCCACATTCCTACAATTTTGTCAAAGTGCTTTCCATGCTATTTTATGAAGTATATATTTACAAATGAGGATTTAAACCGTAAGTTATTCCAGTTTTAAAAATATTTTTATGCGATTAGCATTTTTTGAAAAATGAATAAATTAATATTAAAAAAGATATTTAATTTATATTTATATTATTTATAAAATTATTTTTGCATACAAATTTATTATCATTCATCCTTTAAAAACAATAGTGATCTGGTAAAACTTGTTAAAATAAAAACTGCAGCCTACAGACAAATAACAAACTGGCCACAATAACAAACTGGCCAGCTCATTCAACGTTCCTCAGTCAGAATGTGGCCAGTTGAATAATAAAAAATTTAATTTGTTAACAAAACTTCTTCTATTAAAGCAATAAAGCAGTCAAAAGTGGGATAAATGGGCTCATATAGGAGTCATTTTCTGGACTTTGTAATGGTGGTGGGAAGGGGGGGTTACGCTGTTATCATTAGCTCACCCTTCACTTGTTCCAAGTCTATTTGAGTTTTTCATTCATTCATTTTGTTTTTGGTTTAGTCCCTTTATTAATCTGGGGTCGCCACAGTGGAATGAAACGCCAACTTATCCAGCACATGTTTTACGCAGCAGATGCCCTTCCAGCTGCAACCTATCTTTGGGAAATATCCATATACACTAATATACAACGGACAATTTAGCAAACCCAATTCACCTGTACCGCATGTCTTTGTACTGTGGGGGAAACCGGAGCACCCGGAGAAAACCCACGCGAACGCGGGGAGACCATCCAAATTTTACACAGAAATGCTAACTGACACAGCCGGGGCTCGAACCCGCGACCTTCTTGCTGTGAGGAAACAGCACTACCTACTGCAACACTGCGTCGCTCTATTTGAGTTTTTATTTTGAAAAATGCTGGTAGCTGAAACCCATTGACTTCCATAAATAATCTGTTTTCCTACCATAGTGGATGGCTTTCATCAACCAGCATTCTTTAAAACATTTTCTTTTGTCTTCAAACTCTTAAAGGTTAAAACTTCATGAGGGAAGGTAAATGATGAGGTAATTTTTGTTCTTGGGTTAAATGTGTCTAAAAGTTATAAGGGCTGAGAGACTTAAAAAACTTTAACACAAGTGTCTTCTTTTACTTTACATTGTTCATTCTTTTAAATTTAAAAATGTTAATTTATTCAATTGAAATGAGAAATAACATATGTAACAATAAAAAGGCATAAGATTTTTTTGATTGCCAAATTGAATAGTTGTATTCCATATTAAATCTTGTAGGATTATGTTGATATTTTTTGTGAAACAGATATGGTTTTAGATATGGTTTTATTGCTATTTAAATGGTTTTATTGCTATTTAAATATGTGTTTCTGACATGTTTAACTTCCATGCACATGCTGTGAGAAAAGATGCTAAAAGACTGACACGGGGCTTTTAAGTGAAGAAGAGTGACTTGCAAAAAAATATTGCTCAATATTACAGCTCAGAGGTATGAACTCCTGAGACAGACTTTCTGCTACAGCCACCCATTACATAACATAACATGTGGACACACATTTTCAGAAGTAATGTGCTTGCTAAAGGCTCAATGTAGCCTATAGATTGACAGGAAAATCGGCTGTGAAATTATGCAAGTTGTGAACTTTGGGCAGTAGGTTTGCCTGTAATCCTATATAATACTTTCTTTATTGAAAAAACGTTGTAGGCTACCTTTTCCATTGTTGTAGCCTAACGTTACGTTCCAGTTAAGACGATATGTTTTTATTTCCTAAACAGTCGCAAACTTATTATAATGTAGCCTATTTCTCCGACATTAGGCATATAGGCCCATAGAAATATCGTTGGTTAGCACCGAACAAGTAAATATTAAACTTACATTTTAGATGTTAATCTGTTTTTTCCTTCATCGCAGACGACACATCCAAACAAGGCCAAAGCAGAATGCTAACGCGTATCATAGCTACAAAATGAATCAATTATACAGATTATGTTCGAATCCTGAACAGCAGAGCAAATTACTTTTGAGATCTCGAAAAAGCAGAAATTATGCATTTTCGTCACTTTCATAACAGGATACATTTGCGTTTTTGAAGGAATCATTAAAATGCATTAATTAGGAGATTATTCGCCACCTGTTGGCGTTCTGATGAATTCATGCCTTCATGCACATGAATTTATAGTTTTCATATTTATTATTTATTTTTATTGCATAACAAGAACAATACAAAAATGAAGAATACGGTGCTTACATTTTCTTTCACATCAAATGAACAAATCAATAGGCTAGAGAATAAAACAAAAAGTTAAAAAATAATTACGGGGGATATATAAATTACAAGAAATTTGCATAAGAAAATTATTTCAAAATTGCACACATCATCATAGCTTTTTTGTTTGTAATGTCTTCTAGGATTTCGATATAATGCAGTTTTCAACAAATAAATGGTACTTCCTATATAAAAACAATAAACTAATAAACACATTTTGCTCCCAAGTTTTATTACTATTATTGCTGTATGTCAAAAGAATATCTTTTCAAAAAACTGAATTTTTCATGTTGTAAATTTAAATGTAAGATATTCAACATCAAACCAAAACATTTGGATATACAGTTGAAGTCGGAATTATTAGCCTCCCTTTGAATATTTTTTTTCTTTTTAAATATTTCCTAAATGACGTTTAACAGAGCAAGGCAATATTCACAGTATGTCCGATCATATTTTTCTTCTGGAGAAAGTCTTATTTGTTTTATTTCGGCTAGAATAAAAGCAGTTTTAATAAAAAAAAAAAAAAAACATTTTAAGGTCAAAATCATTAGCCACTTAAAGCTATATATGTTTTTGATAGTCTACAGAACAAACCATCGTTATATAATAACTTGCCTATTTACCCTAACCTAGTTAACCTAATTAACGTAGTTAAGCCTTTAAATGACACTTTAAGCTGAATAGAAGTGTCTTAAAAATATCAAGTAAAATATTATTTAGTGTCATCAAAGATAAAAAAAATAAATCAGTTAGTTATTTAAATTAGTTATTAAAATTAGTTATTAAAACTATGTTAGAAATGTGTTGAAAAAAATCTTCTCTGTCAAACAGAAATTTGGAGAAAAAATAATCAGGGGGCTAATAATTCTGACCTCTACTGTATGTGCGTTCAAAAAACATTTTTTTTTATCGATGCCTCCTCTAATTCACAAAAAGTGCACACAGACTCCATGTCTCAAAATTTTTTTAAACAACCTGTTTCACTAGATAAATTAAATGAATTAGTTTATAAGTTACTTCTTTAACTTTATTGGCGAGACAGTATTTACTAGGTAAATTCCAAACGTTTTTTCACTCAATCTGCTTAAACAAGGAATTCCAAAAATTGTTGCATTTAGACAAAAACGTGGTTCTGCATAACTTTTTTATGTAAAACTTATTACATTTATTGTCTATAATTTTACACCATTGATTCTGATTAGTATGTAAAAGATTTAATTCAAAGGACATTGACAGATAAGAGCTGAACAAGTCCACTAGGAATTGCATCAAATACTATTGCAAATTCTTTAGCAGTTATGGGGATCTTATGCTAATTGATAAAATCACAATAATTAAAAAGTTGTCCATTACTTTTGAATAACTCTCACCAATATAACATCATTATTGTACTAATTTCTAAAAAATTAGAGTTTATTTTTAAATTATATTATAAAAATTATATTTATAAATAAGCATCCAAAGTAAACAGACCTGTTTATGAAAAGAGGAAAGTTTAATCTTTTCTTAATCCATTTGTTTTTTAATTCACAATTATAATTTATAGGTTTATGACATATTTATTTATCATATGGAAAAAATAAAAAGCCTTTCATTTCATTTCAAGGTGTTTGTAGTATGGTAGTGCTTTTTTATATTTTATATGGGTGCAGTATTGCATGCCATTATATGGATGCAGATGCAGTTGTAACAGCATTGTGAGAAAGTTATAATCTTGAAAGTGTTTACATATCTAGTAAAATATTATTTACTATCATCATGGCAAAGATAAAATGAATCAGTTATTATAAATGAGTTATTAAAACTATTATGTTTAGACATTTTTTCAGTGAAACAGAAATTAGAGGGAAAAATAAACAGGAGGGCGAATAATTCAGGGGGGCTAATAATTCTGACTTCAACTGTATATCATTATTTGGATATGAGATTACTTAAATCGTAATAAGACATTTTTGTAACATCACCTACCCTAAACTTTTATAGTAGAATGAAAGATTGTATTCAATTGGCCGTGCTCTGTAAAGAAGCATTACATTGTCCTGAATAACTAATTGGTGGTCTTTTCTGCAGTTGCCTACAGGCTTGTCCTCTTCAAAATGATGATAACATTACATCGCATAACCTTTGCCAGCAGTTACCTTCAGACAGTCATATCAGTAGCATACAGTAAATTATATCAGCAGTTCACATACAGTATATACGTGCTAAATGTGAGTTTTATTGGGACACTGAACTGTACAACATATCACTGGGACACTGTACTGTACAGTAAGCTTCATAAAATAGATTAGGCAATTCTGCTTATCTTAATAATGCCAAAAGTGCACATGGAAAGGTGAAAAATCTAGCCATTTAATAAGTGATTAAATAAAACATAGATATAAATACCAAACAATTATTAAAAGGTGTGCAAACACTCTTTATTTCATTCCAAACTATGGGTAAAATATGTCGTGCTCAGTAAAGAAGCTTTACACTGTACTCAGTAATTATTTGATGGACTTTTCTCTACTTGCATCAAAATTATAATAATATCATCATCCTGTAACCTTTGACACCAGTTACCTTCAGACAGTGTTGTGAAAAAGGAATTTATTTTTATTACTTTGGTCTCTTTTACTTTTCAGTAAACATTTGTATATTGTATTGCTTCTCTGAGTAATAAAGTATTTTTGCAGAAGTAGAATTTCCTGCCACTGGCTGGAAAGATAGATCGACATCAAACATAACTTTAACATTCTTACTTAGCTTTCCTGTTGAAGCAAATATGTGTTGAAGCTGACCACAGAATATGTGCAGTTGAGAAGTCTTATGATTTTAATGTTCTACTGAGAATTTGTAGAAAAGAGGAAGTATGTTTGGGTGCAGGTGCCACCGGACTGCAGAATGATTGACAAGTGACAAATTCCACCACCACTCTAGCTTTTAATATCAGTTATGAATAAATACTGGAGTCTGTGATATGTAGAATTGTTGTGAACCACCCGAATGTAATTCTTGTATTGCTTTTGTGTAACTCAGAACTCTGTTTTTAATTATTCATTAATAAACTACTAATATTTTTGGCATTGAAGAAAATCCTTACCAGACCTTTTTATTGAACATGCTGGAAATTGGCTACACATTCCATCAACAATCATATCAGTAACCTACGGTAAATCATATCAGCAGTTCACATACATTATAGACACGTGCAGAATGTGCAGTTTTACTGGGACACTGAACTGTACAATGCATAACTGGGATACTGTACAGCAAGGTCCATAGAATCGATAAGGCAATACTGCCTACTTCATCTTAATATTGCCAAAAGAGCCCTTGGAAAGATGGAAAATGTGGCCATTTAATGATACGAAAACAAATATTAAATGGTGTGCAAACGCTATTTATTTCATTCCAAAATATGGGTGAAATACGTCAATATAAAAGAGGATACAATTCTGTTACTTGAACCTTCGTGTGCTCAAATTAGAATTTTTTGAAAACTGCAGTAGCACCAAGTACATTTTACAAAAGTGACTGTTTGAAACATTTCCAAGATAAAACTGCATACACAGAACCACATAAAACGTTTAAACCCCTAAAAAACAGTTGATATGGAGTGTTAACCTGAAAATAAACCCTTTGCATATAGTTAACAATCATATGAAATATTGCTGTACCACGCATAATACTTGCTCCTATGAGTGAACTCCAGTGTAAAAGTGTTGATCGCCTCTTACGCCTGTTAATACTGTTAAAAACACTATGAAGTAGCAGTAGTCATTGTTTTTGGAGGTATTTGCAGATAACCGGCCTCACTGAATATTTGATGACATTTTAAAACAGTCTGGTCATGTGCGATGAGCAGATGTTATCCATTCTACATCTGACGGGCATTTTCTTTATTGGCACAATCCTCTGAGATGCCAGTCCTTCTGAGCACACTGTTGGTGGTTTTTGCCTCTGCCAGGCCTAGTAGACTGGCGCAGGTAGGTAGATAGACATGTTGAACACGATCCACTTCTGAACGGCACACCGGGCAGCACTGATTTGAGAGGAAAGAGTACATAATATCATTCATTTTGACACAAACATATTTATTTTATTAACATCTTTTTATGCTAATTTTGTGTTCTTGTTGATGCAGTTTGGCACTGCGCCAGCTACACACATCACTGAACTGATGTAACACTTTTGTGATGTCAAAGGGTGAAAGTCAAAAGGTCACAGAACTGCTGTGTAATGACATTGTCTCATTATCAAGATCTTCAGCCTGAACAGCCACTAATGGCTGATGGCACATGTCGAGAAGTATGTTAGGAGGGTAACCTGCGGTTATGTAAACCTAATAGTGTAAGTTCTCTTAATCATTAACCTAACTGGTCGATTTAAAATTTGTGTTTTTTCATGAATGCTGAATGCTTATCTAAATTCATAATAGTGATTATGTTAGCACATAATGTATGTGTGTGTGTAAAATGTAAGTAAATATTCTTTCTTTTTAAAAGAAAAAAAATCCAAATGTTTTACAACCATGTTAACAGTGTATATATGTAAATAGTGTGATGACATTTCTTGTAAATTTAAAAGTTAAAAGTTTCAGATATTTAAATACATTTTCAGACACCCAGAAGACTTAAGAAAAATATTTAGATTCCAATTTACAGTCACAAAAATGTAAACAATTGGTATTTTGACCAACTGTTGCTTTCTGCAAAAAAAATAAAAATAAAATAATAATAATAATAACATATACACAATTATTTAATTATTAGCCCCCTTTTGATATTTTTTTCTTTTTTAAATATTTCCCAAATGATGTTTCAAGAGTTCCCACTAAGATATGCTTTTCACTTATAGCAGGTTTGGCATGCTGTCCCGGGAGAGAACCCTGAGCTCGGAGATATTTGAGCCCAGGGCTCCCGCCCGGTCTAGAAGCATATCAGGAGAACCGAGATCAGGTAGGTCTCGATCGCTCCCCCTTTAAAAGGGGAGAAAAAAGGAGGAGATGGGGTGGAAGGGGGGATTCTTCCAAAACGAAGATAGTGCAATAAGGAGAAAGTGATCCATTTATATTAAGCTAGGATCATTCTGATTGGATTATTACTGATTACGGATGAGTGGCCAGCGGTGCACAATCATATCACATGCTCCTCTCGAAGAGCAAGGACATTTTCACAGTAAGTCTGATCATATTTTTTCCTCTCGAGAAAGTCTTATTTGTTTTATTTCGGTTAGAATAAAAACAGTTTTTAATGTTTCAAAAAACATTTTTGGGACAAAATTATTAGCCCCTTTAAGCAATTTTTTTAAAAATAGTGTACAGAACAAACCATCATTATAGAATAACTTGCCTAATTACCCTAAGCTGCCTAGTTCACCTTATTAACCTAGTTAAGCCTTTAAATGTCACTTTAAGCTGTAGAGAAATGTCTTGGAAATATTAAGTAAAATATTATTTATTGTCATCATGACAAAGATAAAATAAATCAGTTATTAGAAATAGGTTTTTAAAACTATTATGTTTTGAAATGTGCTGAAACAATCTCCCCTTCATTAAACAGAAATTAGAAAAAAAAATAAACAGGGGCGCCAATAATTCAGGGGGGTTAATATTTCTGACCTCAACTGTGTATATATATATATATATATATATATATATATATATATATATATCAGGTAATCAATGAAAACATAATATGAAAAAGAAGATATACTTTTCTTAATTGCCTTGGCTCAATTCCTGATTGATTTTTTTTATTCTCAAAAACAATAAGTTTAGATTGCTTACCTAAATTAGCTTATTATTCACATCACAGTGGTACCTTTTTTTATTCAATCAAACTGCAAATGCTTTGTCATATGTGAGCAAACACTAAGTACAATTGTCTGTCGTTTGGACAAATTTAAAAAATTAAAAACTGCTTTTATTCAAGCCAAAATAAAATAAATAAGACTTCTTCCAGAAGAAAAAACATTATCAGACATACTGTGAAAATTTCCCTGCTCTGTAAAACATCTATTGGGAAATATAAAAAAAAAGTCATATAAATATGATGAGTTTAGATGCAAAAACCTCAATATTTTCTTTTAAAATGGGCATTTAAATCAGGCTCGTGTGTACAGGTTCATGAATGGCACAGAATAAGTTCTTTTCATGGTCTTCAAAGTGAAATAACAACATAAACAAAAGAGGCTGAGAATAATTATCATTTTTTATAGTAATATCAGACAGCACTTAGAGGTTTTGCATCTGATATCACTACCATTTTTGAGAATTGAGGTTCCACAATCCTGAACAGCAGCAAAAAACTTGTGAAGATGTGTAATCTCAAGCAAGGCCAAACAAGTGACAGGATGTCCACCAGGAATTCATGTTTTCCTGGATGCTATTTTGTAGTATTTTTGTGTATTTGTGGTAACATAAGAAATATGATATATACAATATAGTAATTGGAAAAGCAGGATTGCTCTCTAAATGTAATCAATTCGTACAAAAATAAATGTACTGTATAAATACAAATGTCAATTTTTTCTATGCATTATTCAGTCTTCTCAACAAATATCAGATTTTTAAAACCTTAATGTTTATGGTTGACTGTCATGGTGAAAAAACAGCTAATCATTTTGAGCAGTGTGGCTCACACAATGACACATATGTATTGGTGGCATTAGTCAAATTACTCACATGATAACTAGGTTTTGATGCATGAATTAAACGATTTAGCGGAGTAAATATATTTTGTAAACATGCAATACAATTCTGAACTTCCAGCAAAACATTTTGACATTTGCACTCACAATTGAGAGAATGTTAAGACTGTTTCGAAAAATGTGCCAAAGCAATTGGGTAAAACTGTAACACAGCCAAAATGTACAGAATTACACCTAACAAAATTATAAAAATTACACTATTTTTAATGGCTAATATATTCATTTTAGCAGCACTAATAATAAAGTAACAATGCAACATTCACCTGCAGTTGGCTGGCACAGTTATAGCAGCAGAACATGTGTCCACATGGACAGAAAGCGGCACTGATCTCCTGTTCGCAGCACAGAGCGCAGGTCAGGGCCTCCTGTAGCCTCTGCAGCTTCTCCTTCAGAACGTGAGTTTCTCTGCAGTCGACACACATCCGCTCCTCCCGGTCCACTTTAGTCTTTCTCAGCGGAGAACGACTGATCCCACGTCCATTCACACTCACGCCCGCATTGAACAGGGCTCGTCGGGTACGGTCATACACTTCTTTAGATGTGCGCTGAATGTCAAAGATGTACCTTTTACCGAGGTCAATGCTTTCGTTGAGGAAGAGGGAGGCCAGGTGACCCTTAAAGTCACGGCTATACTGCATCTTCACTGTGCTCATTACAGTGTCACACCTGAGGAGAGAAAATAGGGTTTTTAAATTGTATTTGTTGTACGTATTGTGATGATGATGCATGCATGTATGTTTGTAATGTATGAATTTATCACTAATGGAGGCCATAATGTTATACGAATAGAAATAACCTAGAGCAACTTCTACCTTTTGCATTATTTGACCACAGAATATGTGCAGTTGAGCAGTTGTATGCTTTTAATGTTCTACAGAGAATTTGTAGAAAAGAGGAAGTATGTTTGGGTGCAGGTACCACAGGACTGCAGGATGATTGACAAGTGACAAATTCCACCAACACTCCACCTTTTAATATCAGTTGTGTATATATACTGGAGTCTGGGAAATGTAGAATTGTTGCAAACCTTTCATTCATTCATTTTCTTTTTGGCTTAGTCCCTTTTTTAATCCGAGGTCGCCACAGCGGAATAAACCACCAACTTATACAGCACGTTTTTTTTACGTAGCGGATGCCCTTCCAGCCGCAACCCAACTCTGGAAACATCCACACACACAATTTAGCCTACCCAATTCACCTGTAACGCATGTCTTTGGACTCTAGGGGAAACCAGACCACGTGAACGCAGGGAGAACATGCAAACTTCACACAGAAACGCCAACTGACCCAGCTGAGGCTCGAAACAGCGACCCTGCAACCTTCTTGCTGTGAGGCGACAGCACTACCTACTGCGCCACTGCGGCGCCTGTTGCTCCTGAATATAATTCTTGTATTGCATTGCAGTAACCCAGAGCTGTGTTATCGAATTATTCAGTTGTCTCTAATAAATAACTAATACATTTACATTGAACAAAATCCTCTCCTGACCTTTTTATTAAACACACGTAGAATTGGCTTGATATTCCAGCAATATTGTGCACAATTCTATTAAATTCAATTTCGATAATTATAGTGTAGCAAAATTCAAATAAATAAATTCTTATATATTATAACATTAGTATTTCCATTTTCATGGATTCCTTGCATATAACAAAAATGCTTAATGCTAAAATATAAAATGAATTAAAGTAAATAAAATAAAGTCAGCAAAGTAGAAATCAGCAAAAACTAAAGTGAAATGTCAAATTCAAAACTTCAACAACTCTGTTTGAATGTTAACAATGCCTAAATATTGTTGTCTTTTAATATCCTATACTCAAATAAGTCTGACATATTCATAACAGTTTTCACCTGTAGAAGGCGTGGATCTCTGTGATAGCGCGGTATAGTCCATTGGCAGCACTAGGACTGACGAACTTAAAAAGGAGAACGACGCTGTCCCCATTGTCCTTCGTGATGGTCACATACACATTCCTTCCAGACTGAGTGGCCATCTGAATAACTGGGTACATGAGTCTAAAAGAACAAAATAAAAACACATTTATTAATTATAAAACATTATAGTAATAGGGTTGAGCAGTATGATGATATATGTGCGATGGGGTGCGCTGCAGTGCCCTCCCAACGGCTGTGCCCGCCCTCCTTGAAGTCACATTAATTGTTTTATCTATATAGTGCCAGATCACTACGTTTTTTTGGTCCCACTTTATATTAAGTGTCCTTAACTACTATGTACTTACATCAGAAAAAAAAAATACAATGTACTTACTGTGTTTATAATGTATTTGAGAACACTTGTGGTGCTTTTGTGTTGGGATAGAGGTAGAGTTATGGACAGGTTTGGTGGTATGGTTAGGTTTAAGGGTGGGTTAAGGTGTAAGGGATGGTCAACAGTGTATTTACAAATGTAATTACAAAAGTTAACTACAGATGTAATTACATACATGTATTTAATCAAGCATAAGTAAACAGTAAATACATGTATTTACACAACAAGTACATTGTAACAAACGATTAATTCATATGTAAGTACATATTAGTTAAGGCCACTTAACATAAAGTGGGACCCTTTTTTTAATAAGCTAGATAGCCATATGTAATATTTTATTTACACAACAGCATGTCATTTTTGTTTTGTGCTCATGTCTCAGCAGATAAAATATATACAGATGCAGACATCCCAAGTCTCTCGAAAGTTCCGGAAGTCTCCAGCAAATGCATAGAGACTCCCGGATGCCTGCAAACGAATGATAATCTCCAGGAAATTGTGTTTCTCCTGCCCGGTTCTCAAATACGTTCCGCATCCCTCCCCGCTCTTCACATACGTTGCGAACATCCTATGCTGTGATGCGAGCGGAGCTATCTCCACTATCTTGTGTCTAGTTATGACCTCTCCCTGAAGCTCTACGTGTCTTCCGCAAAGTCACTCCGGCTCTGTGATCCCCCAAAATGAATTAAAATACCCGAAAATACTGGCGAGGAGAGTAATTGAGCAAGTGAACAGATTGCAAGAGGCAGTAATGGTCTAAACATTAAATTTGATAGGGTAAATAAATAGAGCAGTAAAAATATTGCGAGTGCAAATCCCCCCTCTCTCTCTCATTGAGAGATCTGCTGTCAATAGTTGGAAACAAGCTAAATATTGGAATGGTCCTGCATGTATTTAGGCCTTTTTTACATATAACAACTGAAAGTTCTGTGTTTTTGACAATATTACAAATTCACTAAAAAGCTGGGTGGAATTATTAGATAAAACATAATTTTTAACATAAATATTTAATAATATAACTTCTTGTAATAAACTCATTGCTGTAAGAAGTAGTTTATAGGCCTATTTCCTTTTAGTAAACAAGTATTTGATTTATAGATGTGCATTTTAACTAATTTTCATCTTTCATCATTTGCATTGTTCCCAAATTGCATTGTTTGACATTTTTCTGTGGCGTTTATTCTGCTTTGGTGACCCCTGATAAATAAGGCACTAAGCTGAAGTAACATGAATGGATGAATTATTTTCTGTAAAGCTGCTTCTGGCCATGACATGTTCACACCTAAATTTTTATAAGAGACATGTTTAATAAATGTCTCAATAAATGGGCCAGACATTTTTGACTTTCCATACCAAGAGGCTCAGGAAATGTTTTTCCAGAAGCCCAGAAATATACATTGCAGTGACAAAAGCTGCAGAGTTTGTGAATAAAAAAGATATAAAATAAATGTTAATTTATATTTTACAAACAGTTGAACAGTTCAAATAGTTGCTCAGTTATTTACTGCTGTCTTTAAAAGTCCATGACTCCTTGTGTTAGTGTGAGTCTGAACAGCCATGCTGGGTTAGGCCGCATCGCGCCGCAGCCCCAAAACACAAAAAACATGATTTTTTACAAATGAAGCATGAGCACACATTGCTTTGCATCTTATAAACACAACCAAGCCTTAAAAATACACTTTGAACCACCCCTTTACGTAAACCAAATGTGTACCAGTATACTGGATCTGTGCATTCGTTCATAAAGTGGCAGAAGCTTAATAAACCTGCTGTGTCATTATTTTTTCATAAACTCTAAAGATAGGTGTTGGTCATTTCACCAACCCCTAGTATAGAAACATTTAAATTCTCTAAGTCACTCCATATATGTACCTTTCAATAGGTGTGAAATCGCTTTTGCAGACAAACAGGCCTTCTTGTCCAACACCGATGAGCAGTTCCTGTCCCTCAGAGTCACGTGCGAAGTGCCATTCAACGCCATAGTAGGTAAGGGAGGAAACCAGCTGCAGGGCTTGATACTCTGCAGAGGCCTGACTGACACCCTCCAATGACTTGTGCTTTAAGGAAATGCTATAAAAACAAACACAAAAACACATATGACAACCGTGATGACCACAGACTTCCTGTTTCTTTAAGCTGCATTTAGAAGAAACTGGCTTGGTCCGAAATACTTCTCTATTTCATTTTCATAGTATTTGTAAAAGAGTAGGAAAAATACCAGGAAGACCTTCCTATTTGACTTTCCTATTTACTTTACTGCCCCATGAGGCCACAGGAAAGGGTTTATGAATGACAGTAACGCAACTGATGCTAGGTCACTGTAGATAGCAAATGTATGACATCCCGAATTGCATCCATAGCACACTATGTAATTACATATCATAGCAGGTAATTACTTATTTCAAAGTAGGTAAAATATGTGATTTCAGACACAGCAGCATTGCTACTCTGACCATACACTTCTCAGTGCCCTTACGTGTTGATGGTGTCATGGCTGGGGTCTTGACCGTAGATCTGGGAGTAGCAGTATTTGGCTGTGTTTTGCTTGTAATCTCCAAACTCTGCCTGAGCCAGTAGAGCGCAGAGCTCAATCGCCTGCTCTGCGTCCAATCGCAAACTTCCTTTGATAATCTCCTCCTTCACATGCATCAGAAACAAATGTCTGCAGAGCAACAGAAAACAAATGGGAACATTGAATACATTCATATTTCGCAACAGAACACTGAAGTACATTTAATAAAGAACAAGACATCGATATTTCCCTAAAAGCCTTTTCATATGATTAATAATTAATGTATGAAAAAAAATAGTTCAGTTTGGATGAATCCCCATAAATGTGGACTTAATTATAGGGTTGGTAAATATGTTGTTTCAGCATCAGTTTGGCAATGTGATCATTTGCAATAGACACATCGCAGCAGATATATGCAATTTTGAGCTTGTGTTATAATTTATCATTTGCACGTGTTTTTGAGGCCTGTGATTGTATAGTGATTTTAAAAGCATTCAGGTATAAGAAATTGTACCATTTGTGATCTTAACTATGATTTCTTTATTGAATTTTTTTATTTGTATCATTCAGTTACTATACTTGAATACTGTTAGACTCGTGAAATGATAAAACACTGTATTTCAATTGTTTCTTTTGTATATTGATTGTATTTAAAGATTGTTATGCATGAAAATACATAAATAGATTGTTTATTAGATTTTATGGAGATGCACTCCCACTGCAGAATCATCCCAATCGATCTAACATTATAAGTTCTTTCCAAATAGAGATATTAAATATATATATATATATATATATATATATATATATATATATATATATATATATATATATATATATATATATATATATATATATATATCCATTGTTAAATTTTTAAAAAATCACTGTAAAATTTTTCCAATATTGTGCAACCCTACTTAATCATAAACCAAGCTTTAGCTTCTGACTGAAATATTAGTTTAAACTTTATTGCACTAAAAAAATAAAACTTTCATAACCTCACTTCATAACTCGATAAAGCCTACTATATCATATTTGACAGGTGAGTTTCTAAGGCAAAATCTTTGCTTAAAAACTATTCTAGCATGCCCTCCAGCTTCTGAATAACAGATTCTTTTTTTGTAAATGAATCTCTTTTTGAATATAATTTTAAAAGTGCCTATTTTATAGGGCTGGGTGATTAATCGAAAAGAAATCGAAATCGACTTTCAGAATCTATAACCGATCTAATTTTCCAAGGATGATTTTTATAATTACTTTCTCTTTGTGTCACATGATTTCACTCTGTTAAAGGCTGTGGCTGATTTATTCTTTTGTGGCCACTTGGCAGCCACATCTGATCTCTGGTCAGGTAGGACGATGGACCCATTCTTAAGCCTTGCTTTGCACTACAATGACGATGATTGGCAGCAGCGCCGGAGATGCTGCATATTATCTATTACATTGAGACGGCATATTATCCATTATATTAAAATGATTATTTACATTAAAATATTTGTTTATAGAAGATGCAAGAAATTTTTACTATTTTTAAAAAACTATTTACAAGATATGTCAGAGCTGTTTTATTTAGATTTAGATTAAAGATACTGCTTATGTTCTGCTTTTAATAGGAAAAATGTAATAATAACGTAATAATTAATAAAATAACAACATAATAATAAATTTTGTTTCCAAAAGAGCAGGCAATTCATTTTCACTTTTTTATAAGAAAAAGGTGACTGTTGGTTTTAGAAAATTTCTGTTTTAATTTCAATTGTTTAGCGTTAATGTTCAACAAATTACCATATATAGTAGATAGTGTGTGTTTCCTTCAGTTATTTTAAAATCAAATAATGCGCCTTTTATTCAACAATCTCTCACTTGTAATATGTCAGCATATTTACTGTACAAAACCTGTCAGTGAACTTTAAAGGCAAAACAATAAAATACATAAATCAATAAACATTCATTAATCGAAATCGAGTTGAAATGTTCAATTAATCCAGATTTTGATTTTAGGTTAAATCGCCCAGCCCTACTATTTTATTTCAGGCATGTTTTTGCATTTATAAAGGAAACAGATTTATGGTTTTATATCATTATGAATATTTCAAAAGAACATTTACTGCACTTAAGCTAAATTAAATGGATAGTTCACCCAAAAAATGAAAATGTACTCTTATTTCGTACACTCGTGTGGTTTCAAACCTTTATGAGTTCAAATAAAGATATTTTGAAGAAAGCTTTAAACCTGTAAACACTGACTTCTACAGTAGGAAAGTCAGTTTTTTCACTAACAGGTTTCCAGCTTTCATCAGAAAATCTCCTTTTGTGTTCAACTGAAGACAGAAAGTTAAACAGGTTTTATACAAGGAAAGTGCACATAAAAGGTGAAAGAATTTTTATTTTTGTAAAAATAGACATAAAACAAAAAACTAATACAGTGCTGTCTCTTGCAGAAAATTCATGCACTGTCAGCATGCTGATATTATCTAAAAAGATTTTCATTACTCAGTGGCATAAACCCAGTGAACTTCAGTAACAGGAGCAGACTTGTGACTTCTGACACATATTTCCATGACTTGATGTAAATCACTTGCACATGTGAATAGAGGAAAGAAACTGTATAACAAATATGTAAAGCATGCAATTGCATGCATCAAACCTTTTCCGATAAAACCATTGACACTGCATCACAAAAACCCCAAGTAATCTATTAACTAGTAAGTAACTACATATAAAAAATAATTGAACACACAGCCTTCACTATAATAAGGAATCTGCTGGCATAATAATCCTGGATTTAAAGGTTGGAAAAGAAAAACAAAGGCTGACAGAGCGGGAGCAGGATCTTGTCCCGCCATTGTATAAGATTATGTAAGAGGTGGACTCACGTTACAGCACGTTTCAACTCCAAATCAGACGTACTAACACCTCCCCACCCCCACCACCAGCCCTCTTCATACATGACCCAACAGCTCCACCAGTATCCAGATGGGAACACACTGTACCGCAACTGTATTCCAGAGCATCCCACACTTACTTCCCTTCAACTTTACTGTACATTTGTGCACATCTGAGCATGTTCACACAGACATCCCTTGAAAGGCCTCCAGAGGGATATTATTTTGACTTCAACAGGCTTAAATGAGGCACTCCCTAACTGAACAGTTTCAAGAGCAAACATGTACACAGGTAACTCCCTGTCAGAGAGCTAAAAGAAAACCATTATGTGAGATGCATAAAGAGATGTGGGTTAGAACTAAGAACACAAACAACAGCACTGCTGAGCATATAGACTTTTGACTCACACTGTCACTTTAAAAAGCTGCTTCCTGTTTGGCCTCACGAGAAAAACAACGTAAAACAGAACTGTTTTTCATGTGAATCAAGTTCTCCAAAATGAGCAAAAATGAGAAACCTCAGATCCAGTTTGTTCTTTCACTAATAGAAAAATAAGATGTAGCTCATATAGCTTGCTTTACCTGGTTTGCTCCTGCAGGATTAGATGTGGCTCAACAAAGAACTTGACCCGTAGTCTCAGTCTGCAGGGAGACACACAGTCTACTTCTTGACAAATCCGGTTTCTCAGATTCATCCATAAAGACTCTCCCTTTGTGCCGGTGAACTGCAGTCCAAAATAGTCCACCTCTATTATTCCCATTTTCTGGCATATCTGTTCATTAAAAATGATATATAATAAGTATTTTTGGCATGCATAACTTTGTGTGCTTTCATCTGAAAAGTACTGGGACTTGGGCTCTTTGCAGCCCTCCTCCTTTAGGAAGACAATACATATTACATAAGAGGAACATTTGAAGTGCTAATGTGTAATGAGAGAACACCTGCTTTCCAAGTAATCGGCTGATATGTGATGATAAGTAATTAGGCTTAAAGAATTAGTAAATATTGCTGTTACAAATATTTGTTTAAGGTGAGTAAAAAGTCCAAATGTTAAAGAAAATTGTACAAAAATATATAAATGTTTAAAATAAGCAAGATTTTGCTTGATTTATAACCTTGCAAAAATTAGCCACAGTTTTACTAAAGATAATCAATAAAAAATGGTTATTGTAGTAATCACAAATTACCAAGCATTGGTAGCCACAAACTCAACATAGTTTTGCTTCACCATGCACAGTTTACCCACAAAAAAGTAATTATTTACAAATGAAAATCAATGCAGCAAAAGAAAAAGAACATATTTATTACACTTTTAGTTGAATAAAATCATGATGAATATTTTGAAAGGGTGATTTTAATAGTCAACTTTTGTGTTCTATGCTTTAAACTAGAATAACTTTCATTTACTACATTACATTTGCTGTCGTTTATGCTGTTAATGAGGCTTATTCCATATGCAATGAAAAAGAAATTATGAAATACCTTTCTGAAGATAAACGTGTGAGTTCTCGACACTAACCTTATTGAGAATGTCCTCTCCGTTTGCTTTTGGGTCCACTTCCACCTCCAGGACCACCGAGTCCGGTCGAGTTATGTGGCATAACATGTTGAATGCAGCAGTTTGACACTCGTCCCGGGACAGCAGAGAGAAGAACCTGTGGCTCACGAGGCTGACTCGCACCCCATTGGAAAATCAGAGAGAGGAGGTTTATGAAACCCAGCTCTCACTCCGCCTATCCGTTATCCGATGTCCGATTCGCGAATTGTTCTTCTAAACCGACTCCTTATGATCCTGTCGAACTGATTCGCAAATAATTTATTCCATACTTAAATCAAGTTACATTTGTTGCTTACAGACATTGTTATACACACACAAACAAAAAAATTGCAATTAATTTTAAATAGGATATGAAGGATATCACAATAAAACAACATGGGCATTGTACCAAAACAATATCAGTATATACAATAAATTACAAACAAAATAAAATAACAGGGTGTGGTTAAGCTATTTCAACAATGGTTTGCTTGGTTTATTTGTACTAATATTGTGGTTATACAAAAGGTACAAACACACCGAAAACATGGTTAAATTTTATCAAAAACATGGTTTATAACAGATTTGTAGCTGAAATTAGAATAGTTTTGTGATTAAATAATTTTGCATTAGCATCATTTTTCATTTGATTTCATAATTTGACGAATTTCATTGAAATAAACATTCTTTTGGGCACGCTTTTCGATTCGATTCATATGAACCGACTCGCTAAAACGAATCAGAGGATTGCTGAACAAGCCTTCAGTCACTTTCACTCTCAGTTAGGGGGCGTGTGTTTAACCAGTAGAGGAAGGGTAGGCGTTAGAACAACAATCTGACAGTTCAGCATTTGTTAAAATAATTATATATAACGTTAGATCCAAATCCATTTTGATTACTGAGGAGGTAAACAATGACTGAATGAATGAGCTAACTGATCTTGCAAACACTGTCCGACGAAGCAAAGCCCACAACGGGACATTTGGACATTGTCCTCTGACAAAGGATGGCTGAAAGACTGTAGACACCAACAGATTTAACCTAAATGTCATCCTTCAAGCCTGTGCGGAGGGATTAAAGCAGTATAAGGACATGTTTGAGAATTTCAGAGAGAAGCTGCAAACGGTGCAGCAGGACTTCACATCAGGGTATGTAACGTTATTTCCAGCTTTTCATGATCTCCGGGGTCACATTAGACATTGATTAAGCAAAATCAGGTGGCATTTGAAACCTGAATATGTATTACATCATACTGACACAACTTTTGCTTTGGCTTCATCACAACGGTGTTCACTTTTCAGCGAAGAGCCAAGAAGTGAATGCTAGCTAATTAGCCTGCTAATCATCTCACTGATGGCAAAAAGTGTGGTTGTTTGTTCTGTAGATGTCTACAAAAACAAAGTCAGCTAGGTATAAAAAAAGAGAAAATACATACATTTAAATTATACATATTTTTGGGAGAAGGGACACATTCGAAATGTTCAGTTTGCAAAGTTAGCCGAATGCTAACAACTGCGATTTTTTTTAACTAATAACTTTCAGCTGACTGTCATGTGATGGGCGAGACGTTGAGGGCTGTGATGAGAATTTAGCTGTTTTTATTACAGTTTTCAACTCACAATAACGTTAAATATGTTTCCAATTAAAGTCCCCAAAAATATGAAAGTAATCAAATGCAGAACAATAAAATGTTATTTCATATTGTTTGGAATTTCACAGTATTTTACAATCATGTTTCAAAACCTTTCAGAATCAAAACTCTGAGTGACAAGTCAAAGGAGGCTAAAGTAAAGAAGAAACAAAGGTAAGGTACAAGATGAAAAAAGTATCTGTGTATGTGTGTGTGTGTGTGTGTGTGTACAGACAGTACTGAAGTGTCTACTTTGTGTTCCATCTGTTTTCATCTTAACAAGTGTAAGTAATCATGCAAAACTACATTCATTCACTTCTTTTCAGCTTAGTCCTTTTATTAACCTCGGGTCACCACAGCATTATAAACCGCTAACTTATGCAGCATATGTTTTACGTAGCGGATGCCCTTCCAGCTGCAACCCATCACCGAGAAACACCCCATTCACACTCATTCACACACATACACTATGGACAACTTAGCTATGCAATTGAATTCACCCATGCCACCCATGCAAAACTGTACCATATTTAAATGAGAAAATTCTGGCTGACAAATGGGCAAACTTTATAGTTGCAAAGTATAAAGATTTAAAATGATAATTAGTTAGTATTTGGGGCAGCATTGTGATGCTTAAAATAAATTTTTATTATGTTTCCATTTTTTTTTAAACATGTCTGACCATATAATGGCATTTATCTAAGCATTTATCATGGCATTTATCTAAGCATTTAAATTGATTTTAATGATTTCATGATTTGAATTGATTTTTATGATCTCAAACATTTTTCAGAAGAGATGAGTACCTTCCCCAATATTCTGCTGGAGTAGAATTACTCAGTCGGTAAGTCACTTTACTTTTTTATTAGTGAAATGTCAGTGGTGTCACGCTGTCATTAAACTAGTTACAGAAATATTTTAAGAAATTATATCAATGAGTGTAATCATGACATGCTTTTTTTTTCACCAGATATGAAGACACGTGGGTGGCTCTTCATAAACGGGCTAAAGAGAGTGCTAAGTCTGGTGAAGTAAGTTTACATCTGAATCAGTACAGTCGAACATTTGTAGTGCTGTAACTATAACCTGTGTGTTTGTGTATTTCTCTGTCAGACAGTGGACGGGGAGGTTGTGATGCTGTGCGCACACTGGGAGAAGAGACGGGGAGCTGTGCTGGAGCTGCAGGAGCAACTACAGCAGATCCCGACTTTCCTCTCAGACCTGGAGACCATCACCTCACGTATCGGTGAGCTGTTCACAAGCAGTCATGACAAAGAAGAATTATAATAATCAATGACCAATATTAGTTATTCATACAGGGATATATTTATAGTTATTGTATTACAGAATAGTGTGCTATTCATATCATGTCAGTTGTACTAGATATTTAAAGTCTTTTGAATTCAAGTAGATATCACTGCAGCCTGGAGACCTCCTAGTGGAAGGGATTACACTGCAAGTAGGTTGGGTAACCTCCAAGTGGGAGGGACTTAAACCGCAAGTAGGTTGGGTTTAAGTGGTGTAGGTGGAGCAGATAATAAAACTAGGTTTGGGTCATTAGACAAAGCCATTGTCCATCGGCGATGGCCAATAGACAACACAATGCTGAGCCGGTATCACCGATCCTCCGCCTTGCCCCCGTCGCAAACCCGCTCGCGAAAAATACACACTTAGGCGCTGTTTACACTAGTACGTCTTAAAACGTTTTAAAATGCAAATTAGCATGTTTGTAAAAATGTATTTAATTGTTGTTTGACGTAATCTCAACCAAAACACAAAGAGAAGGTGGGATAGTGTAGCTCATCCCCTTTTTAAAAAAACAGCCAATAGCTTTTTGTTTTCTGTTTGCCAAGCTTACAGTTACATTACATATTTGAAATCACCAATAAAATGAAACAACAACCGTCTAATAAGTTCTGTTTCTAAACGTTTTAATCAAATACAATCTACATTTTTTTTAGGTTGCCTGAGCCAACGCGCATGCGCACTCAAAATGAAAGCGATCACGACACCGACCTCATTTATGGCCGTTCTAGACATTATCATCCTCTGAATAATCATTGTCTAATCACGCTGGTGTTTTAAAGTATTTAACAACTTGGTCTTAACGGCAAGTCTCCTCCAGAAATGACAGTGACTCATGGTTCACAAGTTTGTCAGCGTTTGAGTAGCTGCTGCTATCATGTGATGTGCGTTTGACGGATTTTACCTTGTGTTCGTTTCATACAGATTACAAAACCAGAAAGCTTTTGTTTTCAATTGTAGTGGGTTAATTTAAAAGTACAGATTTCAAGCTTTATGTGGATATATTTCTTATGTCTGTAAAGCAAGAGATCGCAGAGATTCCAGTGTGTTTTTTGACCACATAAAGTGTCGTTAAAGTACACGCATGATCTGAGCTTCTCCCCTGGACAATTGTCAGTTTATATCGTACTAGTTTATATCGTACTAGCTCCTGTAATAGTAGGCGGGGCTTCATTTGCCGTTTTGACCATTACACTTTTCCCCATTCAAAAGTATACAAGTGACATGTCTTGTGTATTCTATAGTTTTTTACAGTAGCTTATTGATATCTTATAAACTATAGACTATAAACTATAACTTATAAACACTGATACTAACATCTAAAAAAAACTTGGTTTTCATATGACTGTTAATGTATTTACTAACATGAAATAAGTATGATCAATTTTGTACTGCATTTTTTATGGATTATTAAAATTTTAAGTTGTGCTCCTTACTAGTATTAGTGCACTGTGAGTTAACATGAACTAACAATAAACACCTTTATGTTCATTAACTTTAGAAAATACATTAACTAACATTGACTAATAGGGGTGGGACAAAATATTGAAATGGCAAAATGTTGTGATTTTTATTAAACCACAAATGTGTAAATATGTAAATTAATTCATCAGTCTTGCACTTTAGTCTTTTACTGCTTTGGCTACAGTACACGGAGGGCTAAATAATTTGTATAAAATTGGAGGCTGCTGCTTTGACTGCTTTAGAGATGTGACCTTTTTAGTCACAAACCGCTCTCTGCACATCAGCATTTTCAAGCTTTTTTGATGGCTGTGCACTTGTTGCGATTCTCTCAAATGTGCTGTTAATAAAAAATACATCTAATACCTTTTAATGTATCCCCCACCCCCCACCTTCATTTACAAATATCATTACATATTGTGGATCTTTTTCTTATGATCAATAAATCACAGACATTGGGGGCAGAATATCATGATAATATCATATTATCATATAATATCATATATCTGGTATTCCTAGTCCTATTATCTAATGGATCATTGTTTTTTGAAGTGTTATTTAGTTTTCATTTGTTCTTCATACAGTATGTCATTTATTCAGAAAACCTGAAATGTAGTGCAAGTCATTTCCACTATCTTTATAATACTTTTAAAATTGCGTACTTGCTGTGTCTCATGTAGCCTGAAATGA